TAACTTCAGTGAAACGGAAGTGTGTGACAGAGAAGGAGTAGGAGGCAGAAGACCCAAATTCTAGACCCAGGGATACCACATTTTGGGTATGTGACCTTGGCCAAATTGTCCATAAAATGATCCTGAATGTAAGTGAATGTAAGTGTACCTGGATAACGACACAATCATAAATGTAAACTATCTCAAAATTACTAGGAAAAAAATTCTGGAGAAACCAGAACCTGCAAAAAAGGCCCATCTGAGGGCTCCAGGATTTTAACAGCCATGATTCTGCGGGGGTGGGGTAGGGATAGTGCAAAGCCTTCTTCTCTGAGGGAGCTTTCCCACCCTGTGAAGTTTCTGAGACATCAGCTACTCCTGGGGCACCGACCCCTAATCCACTAGATCCCACAAAGTCCTGGGGTCACCTGTTGCTAGTAAAATGGTGGGAGATCCTGGCCCTGGGCCTCCACATGTTGAGCTCTGGTTGCTGTTGAGCTCTGGTCTTTGCCTTGTCTGCTGCCCCTGCACTCGGCTCTGCTGGCCCAGTGTCCACCATGCCTGCTGTGTCCTCTCCAGCACCCTTGTGGCTGTCCCTGACATGGGACACTGTCCCTCTCTGTCCCACTGCCCTTTATTTTTTCACAGATCACTGGGGATCGCACAATGAAGCAAAATATGTTTCTGTGGCTTGGGAAGAGTTCAATCTTTATAATTATAACTTTTCTCCCAACTCCCAAGAATAGTCAGCAAGCCTTTCCTTAGAAATACTAAGCCAACACTACGGTTGGATTTTTCGTACGTTGTAATTTATTAAATGATCAATGATTCTCCCAATTTTGTCCCCTAGTAGAATTTCTGATATCTGAATTGGATAGTTAAGGTGTCCAGAATGTACATAATTTGAATGAAGCTCTCCCAGTAGTTCTGGTGTTCTATCTCTTCTTTTCCTTCTAAGCATAAGGAAGCAGGCCATTTTTAAAAAAGTTTTTTAAATTTATTTTTTAGGTGTAGATAGACACAACACAATGAATTTATTTTTATGTGGTGCTGAGGATCGAACCCGGGTCCCGCCCGTGCTAGGTGAGCGCTCTACCGCTGAGCCACAATCCCAGCCCAAGCCACAATCCCATCCTGATCTTTTTTTTTTTTAATTTAGTAATTTTTTAAAGATTGCTTTCATTTGAGACTTTAATCTCTCTTTCTAAAATTGGGAGGAACTGTAATAAAATTCATTTTTGCTCACGTGATCTTTTCCCATCTTAGGTTATTCCTCCAGAATGTCAAACTCTGCCCTAAGACCACAGCTACCTCCACAGTTCAAACCCTGGGCAACTGATGAGCCTCCATGTGGTCTTTCCATGTCGACTCTTGTTCTTCTTAGCCTTTCTTCACACTGCAGCTAAAGGGGTCTTTTAAAAAAATCTGATCAGTTCTCGTCCCACTGAAAACTCTTCTGTTGCTCTTAAGGAAGATTCTCTCTCTTTAACATAACAGGTAAGTGCTCTTCAAATCTCAGAGAATTGCTATTCTTTGAAAAATTGTTAAAACTTGCCGGTGACATCATCTTGAAAAGTAAGTAGTTCTGTATGTTCCCCCCATTCCTTATTTTCTTTTACATTTGCAGATTTTCTTCCTTCTTTCTAAATTCAGCAAGCATGTTTTCACTTATATATAGAATCTTGCATTTCTAGAGGTTATATAAATCTTTGCATTAATTTGGTGTTAACTTGTATTAACTTAATAAATCATCTGACCACTTGTTCCTAAGCTTCAATGATGCTGACACCTCATCCAAGCCTTGCCTGCTCTTTGTTGCATCAGGGTAAATGCTTGTCGTCTGTTCTGGAACCCTCTTTCCCGTACTTCCTTCTGTCACCAATTATAAATCATCATGTTGAGTTTCATACACCTCTTCATTAGTATGGGGAGCCCATGATAACCACTCAGCGGTGTGAGATTTATTTTAATGAGTAGTGTATGGTAGCAATCAAAGTTACACTTTCATCTTTTGTATTTGTCCATATGGGAAGCCAGTCTTGGAGCACCATGGATAGAGCAGCCCACCTCCTCTCCCTATGCAGACACCCTTCCCGTGTTTATTCATTTTGGTATGTGCCTAAGTCTGCACCTATGTTTTCCATTCTCTTTTATTCAATTTTTAAATCTACTCTTGCACCATTACGGCACTGAGTTAATTACCATACAACTTTATAATCAATCTTTGTATCTTACAAGGAGAGTCCCTGTCGGCCCTTACTAATTTTTCTTCTTCAGATTTATCTTTGCTATTCTTGGCCCTTGATATTCATTAGACTTCTAGGATCACTTTTTCAAGTTCTGTAAGTAAAACTTGCTGATTTTAATTGGAATTGCATGAAATATTAGATAAATTTTGGGCAATCTTACATTTTCCGATTTTCATCAATGAAATATGCATATATTTCTATTTTATATAAATCTCTTATGCCCTTCAAGAAAATTTTATAGTATTCTTCATAAAGACCTAAAGCATCTCTAATAAATTTATTCCTAGGTTTCTTATGAACTGACACTGTAAAAGGTATGTTTTAAATTTATCTTTTAATTGTTGATGTATAGGAATGAATTCATTTTTCATAAGGTAATCTAGTATCTAGCAACTTTAGTGAAATCTTAATAACTCAAGTTTTTTCTTTAAATTTGCTTAGGTTTTCTATGGAGATATTAATTTTGAGCACAAATAAAGAAAGTTTTATTTTCTTTACCTGTCCTTTTAATAGTTACCTATTTAATAAATATTGTGCTAACTGGGACTTCCAAAATAATAATGTTGAATAAAACTGACATGGTAGATATTTTTGTCAGGTATCACCTTAAATACAACATCTGTCCTTAGGGTTTTTTTTTTATGATTTTCTTTCTCAGGCTAAAGAAACCTGTCATAGTTTCTTATTATGAATTTTTATTGAATTTTACCAAATTCTTTCTCTATACCTATAGAGAAGTAAGATGGAGATTGTTCCTTCTTTTTCTATTTACTGAGTTAGGATGCATGAGAGAATTATTATTCTTTGAAGAATTGTTAAAATGTGCCTGTAACATTAACTTGACTTGTAAGTAGTTCTATATGTCCACCTACCCCATTCCTTATTTTCTTTTACACCTGCAGATTTTCTTCCTTCTTTCTGAATTCAGCATGCATGTTTTCACTTATATATAGAATCTTGCATTTCTACAGGTTATGTAAGTCTTTGTATTAACTTGGTTTTCTAGCTTTCTAAAATCAAAAGTCCTAAATTATTTAAGAAAAAAATATTTTAATTACTTTTGTAAATGAGCCCTGTATTGCATATTCTTGCCAGTGAGTGCTGACATAGAGAAGGCATATTTGCATTCTTGTCCCATCAGTTCTCTAAAGTCCTAACTAAATACCCAGAATATCCCAGATTCAGTAGTCTATAAGTGCAAAGTACTTTTGTTTTATTTTGTATTAAAAATATAGAGTATTTCTAGCTCATTGTATGGACTATTAGAAATTGATGCTTCTTCAGGATTTCCCAGGAGACTTTTGGGAATCCCCAAGGAATATACCTGAACAAATAACTCTTTTCTTATTGAATTGCTTCTGCAGCCATGTTCTGAACCACCACCGCTTCTTCAGAGCCAGGAAAGTGTCCTCCCAGCACCTCATGACGCATGTTGTACCCCTCTCAGGTTTGACACCGTTTTGTCTCATAATTCCCAAGGTAAAATTAAGAACAGCCTCTTGTATTTAACAAAATGTATTGGTGAGCATCTAGAGAAGATGTTCAAGTGACTTACGATGGAAAGAAAATTAGATTGTCATCAGATTTTTTAAAAAGTAATATACTTAAGATACTCAAAGAAGTAATTAAGTAATATACTTAAGTTCTCAAAGTAAAAGAAGGTGAGCCAAAAGTTTTATAACCAGCCAACTGGCTTTCAAAATTAAAGGCTGTAGACAAATCATTATCAACATCTGAGAATTCAGAGACCCTTTTCCCCTTAATCCTTTGCTGAGAAATCTGCTGGAGAACAAACTTCAGACATTCTTCAAATAGAGATGGTTACATGAATACAGGTAACAAGCATGAAATTCATAGCCACTTACACAGAGCTAAATTGAGGTTAAAGTTTAAAAGACAAGCTTATGCATAATAGTTATATGCTCTGATAATATAATTATAGAATCATTAAAAATGCAAATAGAATGGGTAGAGCATACTCATAGTTTTTGAAATTGTTTTCAGTAATCCTTTGGTGGAGGGTATTGATATAGGTATTGTGAGACAACCATTGTGTATGTAATGAAGAAGAAAACAAATGATAGTTTTGGCCTATTCTAACTCTATAATACATTGTCTACCTGAGAACCAAGATTCATAATATGGAGGAAAGAAGATACAGATTAAACTAGAAGAGGTTAAGTAAAAACTCACTTGTCCTGAAGTTGAATTGGATGAAGTTATCATTCACAATAATACTTATGAATATATAGGTAAGTGTTGATGGGTATTCAAGATGTTCTCATTTCAAGGTGGCAAACTAGGTACTGGGAATCTCTCTCAGTTCTGGACATGTTCACTGAAAATTTTTGGAAACAACTTAGTAACAGAAAGCGTCCCTAGCACCCAGAATATTATTTGAAATGAAGGCTTCTTGGTGATATAACTAATTTCGAGGCAGAAGTAGGAAATATACAAATGTGTTGTTATATCCCAAGAATCATGCCAAAAGCCATCAATTTAAAGGACCTTCCTGTTCATCTATTGAAGGGCACCTAGGTTGGTTCCACAGTTTAGCTATTATGAATTGTGCTGCTATAAACATTGATGTGGCTATGACCCTGTAGTATGCTATTTTTAAGTCCTTTGTGTATAGACTAAGGAGAGAGAGAGCTGGGTCCAATTGTGGTTCCATTCCCAATTTTCCAAGAAATCTCCATATGAATGGATGAAAAAAAAATGTGGCATATATACATAATGGAATATTACTCAGCAGTAAAAGAGAATAAAATCATGGCATTTGCAGGTTAATGGATGGAGTTAGAGAAGATAATGCTAAGTGAAGTTAGCTAATCCCCAAAAACCAAATGCAGAATGTTTTCTTTGATATAAGGAGGATGATTCATAGTGGGGTATGAAGTGGGAGCATGGGAGGAATAGATGAATTCTAGATAGGGCAGAGGGGTTGGAGGGGAAGGGAGGGGGCATGGGGTTATTAATGATGGTGGAATATGATGATCATTATTATCCAAAGTACAGGTATGAAGACATTAATTGGTGTGAATATACAACCAGTGATATGAAAAATTGTGTTCTATATGTGTAATAAGAATTGTAATGCATTTATATATTTTATTTATATATAAATTAAAAATAAATAAAAAATTTAAAAAATAAAGGAACTTTCTATGGTCAGAATGGAGCCATTCAAATTTTAATAAAGAGCTGGGCACAGTGGCACATACCTGTAATTCCAGTGGATCAGAATGCTGAGGCATGAGGATGGCGAGTTCAAAGCCAGCCTCAGCAATTTAGAGAAGTTCCAAGTAACTCCATGAGACCTGTCTCCAGATGAAATATAAAAAAGAGTTGAGGATGTGGCTCAGTGGTTAAGCACCCCTGGGTACAAAACAAAAAGTTTTAATAAAGATGTTAAAAGCAATGGATTGCTACATATCAAATATATTTAAATCCATAAATTTATAGTAATTTTTAAAAAAATGATTGGTCATATTTGGAGAAGGATTTGGGAACCAACTCATTATTATGAAAACTAATAAAGGGGAAAATCAATTACTCATTAGGTCTCCCTATATGAATTTTATCTCAGTTAACCAAATAATAGATGGGTAAAGTGACCCTTCATAGAAAGATTTCAGTTAATTAAGAATGAATGAAATCTCCACCTTACAGCTCCTATTCAAACCACAGATCTAAACACTGAGCAGCAGCAGCTGCCAACTTCACTAAAGGAAAAGCAACCAGAGAGTCTAGGCTTCCTGATGAAACAACACAGTATCACCAATGGTCTTATCAAAGCAAATAAACCTGAATCAGATCAAAGTACCAATTGACAGGGAACACAGAGGACAGAGGAACACGTTAAACTCCACCACGGTGGCATAACCAGTAGAACCGAGATCATGAGAAGCTCTGACGATCCAACATTTCAACAACTACCTTGCAAAGGATAAAAGGGGCTTGGGGCAAAACTTGAGATTAAAAGCAAATTTTAAAACAATCAAAATTAAACTACAGTGTTTTGGGATGCTCAATTGAATGGTAAAACTACTTGTTAAAAAGGGAAGTGACTTCAATAAAATTAGGATAATGGTTTCTTTTAGGGAAGAAGGTCCCAGCATGTGAAGGGCTTCTTAGGTAGCTAGCAAAGTTCTGATTACAAGAGGATATGCCTCTAATGATTCAGTGAAGTAGAATTTTGTGTCATGGAGTTGTCTGTATTCATGCTTCATTTCATAGTGAAAAAGATTTTTAAAAATCATTTGAACATGCTTAGGGAATAATAGTACCACCATTCAAACTAGGACTAAGTGCTATTAAAATTAACTTTCAAGATCACAAGCCAACACCTAATCTCAGCATTCTTGTCCAGCTCCTACTGGATTTTAAGAAATAAAAACTAGTTTGAGTCCCACACAACCAAATAACCAAGCCTCTTTAACCTTCCATCTCCTGTTCTTTCATGTCAGCAAGAGGAAGTAGTCCGCCCTTTCCCTGGAAAAAAGCCTACTCATTCATCCCTGCCCTGGAATGATTGACACTGGGAACACCCAGTCCCTTTTTGAAAAACATCTACTTCCATTTACAAGGTGAAATCTGGCTTCAGGGTATCAGAAAAAAAAAAAAGATAATAATAATGGTTGTTGATGTATTTCCCCACATCTGGGTCATTCAATATAAACAATAGTATGTGAGAGATGCCATCACTTGAGTCCAATCATATACTTAAGAAAAATCATTTCTTTACCTGTTCAAAAGAATATTCAGATTAAAGCTGACCTTATGTCATATCCAAGGCATTATCTTTCTATTCTGAAATGCATATTAAGATGTTTAATTCACTGCTTCTCCTTTAAAATAACTCCCCTTTGGGGATTTCCCTCCCTCAAATCCTATCTTGAGATTTTCTGAAAATAAGTTCTTAGAACAAAGGAAATCTCAAATTTTATAAGTAAGGAACTCTAACAGCCCTCAGAAGAGAGTTCCCTCCATTCACTCCTATAGTGGCAAACTGGATAAAGTCCTAAGTTTTATCTTTATCAGGTACTCATTTTAACTCATCCCAGTCATCGATTTGAAAAAAATTTCCATCATTTAGCCCTTAGCTCTGTGTATAAATCTTATAACCTCCTCTAATTTCCCCAGAGTAATTATGACAAGGTGTGAATCCATCCGACCGGAAACATTTTCCCCTTTGTTTGTTCTCACCCTTTACCATTGTCTGCAATAGAAACCACAAGCTGGCCACAACATCCACTCTTTTCTCTCCTTCCTGGAGCCGAGGCTGAAATAGATTTCTCTATTTTTGTGGCACTTATTCCAGGGGGACTAAGTTCTCACCAATGGAAACTCAACAAAAAAATTCTCCACTTACAGGCTTTGCCCATTAACACCTCCCACTCATGCTGTCCAGCTCTTTCCTCTTTTTGGCCAGCTGGACTTGTGACCCAAAGGAAACCTTGGCAACTGAGGGTCGAACATGGCAGATTCACTGTCCCTTCCCAATCCCTGAAGACCTCGGTGTGCTGCTGCTGACCTGAACTGCCTCCTCTAGAGAGAAATAAACTGATATTTCAGCTGCTGACTTTTTAAGCGTGTCTTTGCTTGTTACCTTCCTAATCAATATGGGAAGAGGCACCTAAAAGAGAATACCATTAAAAAAACACCTGAAGTACACAGTGTTGGCTTCAGGTGTGGACTGAAGGCAGATAGGAGATGGCTATCAATGGCTATAGAAAGCCAGATCCCCAAGTTAACCATGAAAAACACTTTTAAAACACTTCATCTCTGATAGTTTGGAAAGTAGACCAAGAACTTACTGAGTCTGAAGCTATAGGGAACATAGCTGGTAAGAGTAGGAATGCTAGTGTGCGAGGCTGAAAGCTGTGACTTTTAGCCCAGTAACGCAAAAAAAAAAAAAAAAAAAAAGAGAGAAGAGTTCAGGCAAAAATTGACTAGATTGTCTACTAAAATGGAACAATCACTAAAATAATAATAATGATGACAGCAATCACAACAATAGTAATAATTCTGCAAGACTGTTCTGAGCTGGGAAAAAAAAAAACCTGATGGTTTGTATAGCTCAAACAGTAGAAGATAAGATTTATAGGTTCAAAGAATAAAAGGAGATCCAGCCCAGTGGCAAAGATAAATATCAAGAGCGTTGGCACCCAAGCCTGTTTCAGACGTCAGTGAAGAGGCTGTGATGGTTTGATCAAGGAAGACAAACCTCAGAAAAAAATCAAGAAAATACTTTGGGGTTTGTTTGCTAGCACAGGAAACAGAATGGAAACAAGTAGGTCAGAAGCCCATCATATTTTTGAAAAAAACAGTAATGCCCCAGGAAACCACAAGCTTGAATCTGTAAAATCAACCTCATGCAACAGCAGAGAGTGAGCTCTGAAAGGTGTCAGCTCCTAAACCCACATTTCCCCATGCCCACCTCTTATGTGGCCATGGAGGATAGCAGACAAGATTGTTCTCCAGGAGGGCAGAGTCAAGGGCCTCAGAGAATGCAGGCAAGGAAGTACCTTGCTCAGGACGACACTCAGTATATTGACATTTTATTCTAGGGTTTGGAGGGTCTTTGCAATACCTACCTAGCAGGAGTTCATCAGTGCTATGGCCCAGGACGGCTGTGGGCATTTCTATTCTTGTCTGCTTTTGGATATTGGGTAGGCAGTTGGGCCCGGATAACTTGTCTTTTAGCTCACAGGGTGCCAGATCTTGAGGAACCACGTCTGGACCTCAAGAAGAGATCTGAACGCCATCTGGAGACTCCAGACTTTGATATAGATGTAATAACTGGAGAAAAAAAAAATTTCATGAGAAGTAGGCGAATATGGCTTAATAAGGGATGATAGTGGCCAAAGGGACCACCTATGTTAGAGATGCTAGTTGTCTACAAAAAATACATTCTTCTTTCTGGGCACCCAGCTGGACTGCATTTCTCAGCCTCTCCTGCAGGGAAGTGACTAAGTTTTCTTCAATGGAATATGGTTACAGAAATGGCACTTCTACTCTTGGCCCATAACAGTCTCTCAGACTTGTCCCAATATGTCCCTACCTTTTACTTGCTGACAGAAGTGGAAAAGCCTGGAATGAACTCTGGGTACCACAAGCCAAGGATGACACAGCCATCATCACCTGGGTCTTCAATTGACTGCTCTCAGTCCAAATCCTATTATAATGACTTCTGATTTTTTAAGCCACAGAAATTTGGACTTTATTTTAACAGCAGTGTAGCATAATCTAATAGATCCCATTAAAAAATAGCAATTCCTTTTTTTTTTTAAACAGAATTAACTAACTGTTTCAAGAAAGGCTACAGTTGACACATTGAATTGAAAACCTTGACATTGTCCCTATTGGCCAGATGAGATTGCGTGATCCCTTCTCAAGACTACTACCTGGAATAACTACAATCCTAATCTTTTTACTCCTCTTTTGCCTCTTCTTTACCCCTTCCCTGACCCCCTCTGTTGTGCTCTCCTGGCAAAACCCCAGCTCTGGTTCCACCCAACCCTGCCTCCTCCCATGCTTGCAAGCTTCCCATGGCTGGTTCCACTTTAAATTCACAATTGCTGACATAGTACCGATAGCCACAGTACTGTCCCAACAATCTCACTGCATTCCCATAGTTCATTCATTCGTCGAATCCCACATACAGCTTTTCAGATGTTTTTGTCTCTCTACAAATCTCCAGTTCCTTTCCCTTCCTCCTCACTGTTAGCTGATGAGTTTGAATTCTACTTCATTAAGAAAAGAGAAGCCATCAGGGCGAGTTTCCATTAGCTCCCACCATCTTCTCCTCGACTGCCTACCTGCATCTGTTCCTGTGTAATGTGCCTTCCTTCTGGGTGAGTTATCTGTTTTTTCTAAAGCCAAAACCTCCATATGTGCACACTGGGCACCATTTCCTCTCATCTACTAAAGGCTCTTACTCCAAAAACTCGCTCCTCTTTTTTGCATCATCAAAATTTCTCTCTGAATTGGATGTTTCCCATCAACACACAAGGCATCTGGAAATCCTCTCATGTTTCAAAAAGAGTCAAAAGAACTTGACTCCACCTTGCCACCAACTCCCATCCATATGCTATTTAAATAGATATATTTCTGAAAATAAATGTTCCAATTCACTCTTTCTTTCTTTCTTTCTTTCTCTAATCTCATTCTCTCTTGAGCTCACCCCAGGCAGGATTTTCTGTTGAAATGGCTTGTATGAAGGTCATCAGTGACCTTCATGTTACCAAATCCAATAGCCGATTGTCCATCTTCATCTTTCCCAACCTGTCAACAGCATTTGATACGGTACATCGCTCACTTTTTAAAAAATGCTTTATTCTTTTGGCTTCTCAGGGATGCTTCTTTCTTGGTTCTTTGCCTTTTTTTTAGTAGTTGCTCCTCTTAATCTTTGAAATTACATTTAACATACTGCAGCACTCCATGCTTACTCCCTTATGTTGATTCTTTCCCACCTGCACTAGATGATCTGTTAAATTTTTATCTTTAATACAGTGTCTATTAAATGGATGGATTCCAAATTTCTATTTCTGAACTGAATATCTCCACTTAACTCCAAGCTTGCCTATCTAGTTGCTGTTGACATCTCTTCTTAGATGTCTAGTTATTTCAAAATTAACATTCCCCAAAATCAAATTCTTGATTATCTTTACCCTCAAGGATGCTCACTAAAAGTAACTCCATTTTTCAGCTATTTAAGCCAAGGCCTTCATCATTCTCTGTTTTTCCTAACACTCTCAACTGGTACATCAGCACATCCTCTCGCCTCTACCTCAAACTATATCCAGAATCTGCTCACTTTCATCTCTCATCTAGATTACTGTGATAGCATCTTGTGGCCAAAACTGCCCACTCCTTCCCAATCTTCTTATCTCCTCCATCCTTTCATACTAGTAGAATTTCTATCTGGGCATCCATCTACCAGAATGTACATGATACTTCCTAATATTTTTTGCAACTTGATGTGGGTAAGGGTTCTGTCTGTAAAAAATGTCTATGGAAACTTCCTTAAAAGATAGAGCAGAGATACCCTTTGTTGTTTCTTCTTTATCTTTTCCTCCATCCTGCTTTCTGGTACAGACATGACTCCTTCCACCTGAAGAATGCACCCTTTGGTTAACTCTTTCCTCTCTGTACTCAAGCCCTGAATGAGTGCTTAGAGCCATGGGTTGGAATGTCTTTTGACTCAGCAGGGCCTTGATCAAACAAAGCTGAATTCAGACCTCTGGATTCAGACTCCTGGAATGTAAGACTGAAACCAATTTCTTGTTAAAGTCACAGTCATTTGAGTTTTACTGTCACCCTTGAATTTGATCCCAAATAATACATCCCCAAACTGGTTTTCTACTTCTGCTCTTGATCTTTTCAAACTGTTATTCCCACAGTACTTTTTTAAGAAATCCTTTAAGACCAGGTTGACTATACTACCCTTGAACTCAAAGCTCTCTGGTAGCTCCCCTTGCTAGTCCCGTGTGCTCTCTTACTGGACATGTCTGTGTGTCCATGCTCTGTCTCCTCCTCCTCCTCTTCTGTTCTTGTCTGTCCATTCTTCACTCCATTTTGTCCATTACAGACAGCATGGCCCGTGCACTATCTTGCAAACACATTTCTGCTGCAGGGACAGGCATTTCTTCCCTTTTACTGGAAGACTCACTCCCTCGCTTTCCTCAAAACGTAGCACCCAAAATGTTACTTTATCCAAAAGGTCTTTTCTGACCACTCAAGTCTACATCATTACATCATTAACATCACAACAAGAATAGGTCCAATAAAATTTGGGATGCTCAGCTTCTTTAGAAGTGAATTTTTTTTCTTTTCTGACAATACTGGACTTAATTCTCACAGGGCAATAATGAACTTGAGCCAGGGAAAGCTTTGGGGTGGGGCTTAGTGGAGCCTTCTTGGTATGGACAATGGATGTTGTTGATTTAACATAAACGTCTATGACAACTTAGCTTCAAACACTACCATTCCCACTCCACTCTCCCCTTTCCTCTTCCTCTACCACCCTCACCCACCCCTGGCTGGATCATCCTCCTAATAAAGTTCTACTGGCTATAAAATTAATGCACAGGTCACGGTCCTGCAGTTGTCTGTCATCCTATACTCACTTGCTTTACTAATTCACAATAGTTACCTGGTTCTGGAAGGCATATGATTAGTAAATAATGACTTAGGGTATTTTAGTTCTCTCAGATTTATAGGGAAAACCCCAAATGATTAAAAGTCTCTATGAAACGCAGACTCTTCAGTATAGCATTCCAGGCACCTCAAGAGCCAGTCACTCCACATAGCAGCTTTCTGTACCTGCTGTCCTTAAAACTGGCCTCCATCTACCAGGTTATTTAACAAAGACAAATAATGACTCATCCCTGGGGAGTTGTTTGATTTGGTGCAGAATCAAAGTCTCCTTTCTTTTGAAATGTCAAAACAGGCCAACCAGGCTTTGAACCTGCACAGAGATTATTGCAAACAGATTAATCTTTCCCAGGAAGGAATCAAGGAGCTAATATTTTAAACAAATAAAAGGTGAATTGCATTACTTAGCTGTCAAATGTTATATTTAGAAGTTACTAAAGACATAAATTTGAACAACTGTCAGTTTGAGTGTAATTTAAATTCTTCAAACAGAATAACTCATAAGAGGTTTATATAGAGTTCAGTTTTCCCTATTACACATTTATGTTGAATTTTTATTCATGAAAACTGTTTCTGGTAGCTCTGGTACTTTACCCTGTCTTTATGAATGCTTTCAAAACCAAATTCTAAGGAAATGGTTTTTTTTTTTTTTTTTTTTTTTAAAAAAAGGCAGGGGCAGGCTTTGAATGGAGCTCATCAACTTTATTATTTAAAAGTTTGTCTGGGATTAAGAATTACGAAATAATTTCATTCATCCATTTATTCAT